AAAAAAAGAGTGGTGCACGACCTGATCTAAATCCTGGCGCGCCAGTGAGATCTACGTCATTTTGACGTCACATTGTCGTGCAACAGGTCGGGAACGGCGAGTATACAAGACGCTTAACAAAGACAGGTTTTGGTGAGTCTTATCTTGTTTTTCTACAGTTTGCAATTTGTTTTATCTGCTAGGTAAAATGACTGGTTTTGTCAATGGAGTCACAGATTACCTTTTTTAAGTTTTAAGTCCTGTAAAATATTTAGACTTGTACCCTGCAGTAATTCATACAAGAGTGTGTATTTTGGCAGGAGAGTTTGGACAGGAGAGCTACTCTTTATCCCCAGCATGAACAAAATTCTGATGTTTAGATGCACTATTTAACCAGTGGTGGGACACCTCAGAAAATGTCACTGAGATGGATGAAACCCAAAGCTGCTCTGCTGGCATCACTCACTAATGTTTGCTGTCAGTATGAATGTCATTAATTAAAGCTGCTGTCTGCTTTTTTTAAATAATTGTGCTGCTCTGCGGTTCCCTTGCTGTTTTAATAAAGCATGATGGGTTACAATAAACTAAGACGGGCTTATTAGAGTTGTGATTGGTTCATCAGCAATATTGGTAGTGTTCTAAAGAATTCATATGACATGTTCCATAAATCCTCAGTAGTATATAGGATGTTGTTTAATGGTGTAACCCTGTTGATCTATCCTTGAAATCAGAGCTGGCTAGTGGGTCAAAACTGATGTTAAATGAGCTTCAAAATTATTATTTTAAATTTCACCTAATACATTTCATACAGTATTTACTTGTATATGAACAGTGCAGCAGAATTTTGCATCTCTTTTAATATTTTTCAACTGTTTGCATGTGTTAATGAGCATTTGTGCTGCATGCTATGAAGCTTAAAGCTGCAGTAGGTCATTTTTATAAAATCATTTTTTGTCATATTTGCTGAAACTGTCACTGTACCCAGACAGTAGTACATGAGACAGATAATCTGGGAAAACAACGAATCACCAAATATGAGAAAAAAGTTATGTTTATAAAAGTTAATTCCTGCAGCTTTAAGGAAGATACTATAACTGGAACCGAGCTGTTGAATGGTGAAGACAACTGCAGTCAATACTATATTACACTAACAGGGTCTAGCTGAAATGCCTGTCAACGATATTATCTCATTACAGTGACAAGCCTGCTAAAATTGCACAGGTTTATTGAGTAGTGTACACAGATAACGACAGAGAAGACACTCTTTTTACTAAAAGACGGAATGTATCCTACTCCTGAGTTCAAGAACCCGCTGAACAAAAGCATTTTACACAGTCTGCGACACACATTGCTGCCAGCAGTTTCCACTATCACAATTACAGGTATTCAATATTTCCTGCTTAATGCTTGAATTACTGGATTAGTCGCTGCATCTTTAACTATTATAAAGGAGTTTGTCAGTGCAAAATTAACCAGAAATGAGCGCTTCTGTTTGAATGATTATGATTATAATGACATTAGGAATGTTTTCACTGCCCTGTTCAAGGAAGCTTTGCTCAAATCCACCAAACTTTGTGAACATTTTGCTTACACATCCATCACCAAAAATGCAGACGGTTCTCTTGTAGAACTGGGATAAAAATTAATCAATAAATAATTAATGTTCAAGAAGATGAAATAATGTATCTATTTAGACATCTTGATTTGTATCCCTGTACCCCTTGCATCTAGTATGTAAGAAAATATCCAAAAAATATCCTATTAGGATATTTTGTTTTGTGATACTGTATTGATTTTAAAAATCATTTTACATTAGGGGTGTTGCGATATACCGAAACTGACAATAACTGTGATATTTAAAGTGTTCATAGTTCAGCATCTTTTAAATCATTTTCTTTCTGTTCTCACTTTGTGGTTCACACTCCAACATAGTAGATGGCAGTAATTTTTGGTTACAATTTGGTGAAAAAGATACAAAACACAATAAAAGTTAAAGATTAATTCGACTGATTTATTTAATTTAGTTTTTTTTTTTATTGCGATAATATCATTATTGTTAATTCTTTTGGCCCACAATAATCTAACATCAAGACAACCCTATTTTACACTATACCTAACTAGATTACATTTCAGTTAACAAGTGGAAAATCACTTCAGTGTGATTCAGATTATACTGCGTCAGTCATAGGTAACACCTCAAGTAATTCAATAAATGAAAACATCTCAACCCAGGCCCTTTCTCCAGTCACGTAGCGGCAAAGCAGCAGCAGCAGCAGCAGCAGCAGCAACAGCAGGACAGAGTTTTTTGGGTCATGTTCAGTTTAGTTGCAACTGTTTTTACTTGTTCCTCCAGAAATTCCAAGATTAGAGATAAAAACTCACTCACACTGGATCTCCATGCATTTCCATCTCTACGTTTTCACAACTGTTCTGAACACAACCCTGAAAAAAGACATTTTCAGAAATAACAGAGGAAGTATCGGAAGAAGAAAAAGCAGGAAGCAAAGCATGCTGGGATGACTCACACATGGCCGTACCAGACTGAGAATGTCTGCTGGAAGCCTCCGTCGTAGCCTGCCTCCCAGGACACATTGGCCCAGGTGGAGGATGCCACTACATGGACGGTGGTGGGGGCGTGGGGGCTTGTGCCTGCAGGCAGGGAAAGCAGTGAGAAAGGTGTTGTTAAAAGGGCACATTAGTCACCGAGTAGCCTTGCTGTGATACAGTGCATTCATTTTTCTTGTCAAATACATTTACTGTGAGCTGGACCCAGTAATGTGTTTTTACGGAGCTAGAAACCCAATGCAACATCTTATTGGAAAAAAATAAGAGAGAGAACATTACAGGTCACATGCTCCAATAGGGGATTAATAAAGTATATATCTTCTTCTTCTTCTTCTAATTCTCCAGTCACATTTCTAAATATGTATTTTTGCTAATTTCCGGTTCCATTGTTTAGGTACTGTACTGGAGCCAAAGTAACAGGAAACCAATCAGGAGCCAGTTCAATACATACAGTCATTGTATTGCTCTGATTTGGAAATGAGGAAGTACAGTGGTTAGCAAGGACAAAGTGTGAAATTTACCACAGACATTCAAATATTTTAGAAATTTAACATTTTGATCTTGAACTTGAACTTAATCTGGAACAAAATCATTTTGCTCCTTGAGTGCTTGCAGTGTGTTATCCTGAGCAGTTGTAAATTCATGGAAGAGATGCAGGATTGCCACCAGTACAATCACTACTTACCACAGCTAAAATATACCTCTTAGCTCAACCGCTAATCAGCTAACTAACTACAGCTAAAAACAGCTGCCAGCAACAGTTTTCATTTCAGGCGGCAGCTAGAAATGAAAAGCTGCTTTTCCCTCCCTCTTAAGAACCCATTGTTTGTAAAAAATATTATCATTGCACACTAGGGATTAGATGGTATATGGTATGACATGAAATCAAAAACACTTGTGTTTTAATTTTCATTATTGGGATAATAGATCTTTTTCACAGTAGCCATTTTGTCATGAAATAGTAACACGTGACTTAAAAAAGTTGCCTAGTTTGCTAACGCTTTTGCTAACGCTAAAGTCCTGCATTGATTTCCTGATTGAATTCTGAATTGGTACAAGGGGGACAAAGAGATTCTGATGTACTATATATACTATATATATTTATGTAGGTTTCTATATGTATATGTGTTTTTGTGTATAACTGTACATGTTGGGTACCTATGACTTGGACGTGCGTGCTGGCAGTGATGCTCGTGGCAACGTTGGTGGCGACACACTCCCACTCCCCGTGGTCCTCCTTTGTCAGTGACTTGAACTGTAAGCTGCCTCGGGGCAGAACATTGTGCTTGCTTTTACTGGGCTTCCCTACCTGCAGTAGAGAGAGTCAGCCAGTGAGAGAGAGACGGAGAGAGGTGCACAATAGGTTGGAACGTGGAGTCCAAAATTCACAACCTTGAAAAAAACATGCATAATACAGTAGGGACAGCTTAACAGCTATTAAAAATATCAATCTGCAATCTCACATCTGCTACAATAATACTGCTTTCAGTATCTGACTAATGTATCAAATTTTACAGAATGATGAATTATGAAATTCATAAGTGGGAGACAAAAACAATAGCTAATCACACAATAGTAAACGAGCAAGATTAAATGTGCCTCATAATCAAGCAAAAAACTGGGAGAATCTAATATGTTCCCTTGATTGCTTATTTTATAGACATCATTAAAATGTGATTAAAAACACTAAAATGACATACTGTAGTTTGAGTAATTAAAATCTGCGCCCAGTACAGGCACAGTTTTCAGAATGAAGATTTCTCAATGGAAAACACTGAATGCGAAAATAAAGCAACATGAAGTGGTGATTCAAAATCAACCTCTCAGTAAATTACACACATGCTGCTAACGGCCGTATTGCGTTACCCAGCCTGAACACTGACTCGTTGAAGTTTATAGAACCGTAACACACTGGAATGATTTAGCCCTTGATATTTGCCTAATTAAAAATAAATTATTCCTTAAAAAGAATATGCAGAGGTATTGGCATGCAGATGACAGAGTGAATGCTATTTGCTTCATATTCAAACAACACCTATATATAGATTTTTAATTAGTATTCTATCTTAATGTATGTACAGTTATGACTGGCTTTGAATTGTATATGATTGTACGCTTTAAATGTAATATTATGTATATTAATTAAATTAATGTTTATCATGTAATGTGCTATGCATTGTCAGAGTATTGTCAGTTACCTCAGGAAGATTAGCTGATCACCATGGCATCAGATAATGGGAAAAATAAACAAAATAAAGGCATAGGCAGGGGGTGTACGGTGTGGAAGGTGTCTTACCTTCCTCCATGTGATATTGGGAAAGGGGTCTCCCTCTGCCTCACAGGGGATGACCAGTTCTCTCCCAGCCTCTTGCCTGTACTCCCCTCCAGGAACCACTGAGAATTTGGGAGGGTCCTACCCAGCGTGAAACGGCCAAGAAAAAACAGATGAGCTGCTTAGGAGAACCTGCAATGCCCCCTGGATGTGTCAGAGCTGTTTGGCTGTTATGGGCTAATCTATATGCATAGTTACGGTGGGCGTACCTTTAGCACCAGGGGAGCGGGAGGGGACCATCCCATGGAACCCAGGGCATTGTAAGGCATGCAGGTATAGGTGCCAAGAGAGTCCTCTGTCACCTCTGCCACACGGATGCTCCCATCGTCCATTTGGCTCCAACCAGGGTACTGTGGATGTAGAAGTCACGGATTGTGTGTAAGGAGGAGTTTTATTGTTTAGAACAATAATGGTTCCAATCAATAACTCAGGGAAACCTTTCACTCAGATAAGAGATGGAAAGATGAAGTAAAAAATGGAATCCAAGTCACTCACTTTATCTATCCGGAGGGGGAGGCCATCTTTCTTCCACTTAACCAGAGTTACGGGAGGGTTGGCATCTACGGGACAGCGGATGAAGCCCGGCAGACTAATGGCCACATAGATGACAGATGGCATGTTAACCACACGGGCAGGATCTGGCGAAAAACACAGAGAGAGAGAAAACAGCGAGAGTGATGAAACGTCTCTTTGTAGTTTTGAAAACCTGGTGCCTGGCGATTGTAATAGCAGTGTGGAGGAGATTGGGAAATCACACAGTTTGTGGGAAGTGGGCTCATCATAAAATGACTAGAAGAGTGCACTCAGCAAGCAACAGATGTTGAAGCTCCTACCTCAATGCCCCTACACCTGCCAGCTACAACCAGCAGAGGTTTGCAAAGGTTTAATAAAGATTTTGTACAGTTTTCTGTAAGATGCACGGAAAAATGTAATGGTAATGTAACCAAGCACCCTGTGTTTGGCCTACAGGGCTGTCCATGCCAATACAATAACAATAACTAGAACAATAACTAGAACAATAACACATCATAATTAAAACAGCCCCCCTTCCCTCCACCTGGCTGGAAAAATGCCACTGACAGTCAGATTTCAATATAGAGTGGTATAATAAGAAGGTTCGCTGCAACATTCTGTGGGTTTTAAGAAAAGGACAGCATCAAATGCATAATAAGCTTTAACACTTTCTTTATATAAGGGCTGCACAATTAATCAAAAAATCGAAATTGCAATATGGCCAAGTGCAATATACAAATTGCAAAAGCTGCAGTTTTTTTCATAAAAGGTAATGTGTGTGACAGAACAGCATTATAATGAAGTACAGTAGTTCTGCAGAGACGCACTGGCCTTCAAATCTTGTTTTCCAGATGTATGTTTGTTCGGTATGGACAATCAAACAAATTCACGTCATCATGATTTTAATAGTTTTCAGTGAAAATTAAATTTGGGATGCAAAAATGAAACTGGCACACTTGAGTTGAAGGAAATTTAGAGGAAAGCGGGCAGATCATTTCCATATATTCTGCAGTCTGCCCGGCCATTCGCTAATATTGGTGCGAGGTAATTTGAACAATAGGGAAAATATTTGGTGATGAAGTTGATTGCTCTTTTTCTGCAGTCTATTTGGGCAATATTGCAGCTCATTTACTGACACAAGACAAATATGTATTAAAAATACTATTAGCAACCAGCAAGAAAGCTGTAATGTGAACACAGACCGGGCCTCAAAACACTGCAAAAAAGGAATCTTAAGAAAATAAAAAGGCCTTGTTTCTGGGAAATGAGTCTAATCTTTTGTCTAAAAAGAAAAAATATCTTGTCAAGCATGTTTTGCATTAGAAAAGTAATCTCGGTTTAAGAAAATATATCTAACTTCGTCTTAATAAGATATTATTTTTAAGAGAAAGACCACTTGCACAACCTCTCAGTTTAAGAGAAAGTTGTCTTGTCTCAGTGTTGGAAATGAAGCAGCTGTTTAGTTTTTCATTGTTTTAATAAAAAGGCTAAACATAAGAATGCTTCTGGTGTCAAAGTCACTTCACTTCAAAGTCACTTATTTGTATCCTGCTGTTTGAAGAAACTGTGTCTTATTGGAAGATGTGATTAGATTAAAAAGGTTCACATTCTCCGGCGCCTGGTTAGCTCAGTGGGTAGAGCTAGCGACCCATGTACCAAGGCTGAGTNNTGTGGCCCTTTGCTGCGTGTTATCCCCCCTTTCCTGTCTGTCTCCAGCTGTCCTATCAAATAAAGGCATAAAAGCCGAAAAAAAAGGTACACATACTTAAATTCAGATCAATAATGTGACCAGAATGCTTATTTTAAGAATCTTAAATAAGTTTTCAATGCTTGTAGTAAACACACTTTCCATAAGCTTACATTTTTGGCACTTTGTCTGGTTTTAATGAATTCTAGCCAAGCAAAACTGTATAAGGCTACTGGCAGAGTTTTTGCTCAATACAAGTAAACTGCAGTGAAACACCAACAAGATAGATATTGTGACTAGTGTTCAAAGTATGGAGAGAATTACTTTTTTATATACATTTTAAAATATTAAAAATATTTAGTGTTTGTGTTCATTATTATTATTTTTATTATTATTTTAAACCACATTAAACTGTATTTTGTTATAGACAGTATAAACTGCATTATATCGCACCATAAGTGACCTGCCTGACCTCAATCAGTCTAATCAGATCAGGTCCGATATGTTTGAGTTTTATTACTATCTCTGCTCCACTTTAGTGTCTGTCCTTTCACACTTTCCTACTCTATATTTGAAGTCATAAATAATTGGGATTTGATATGGTCCATCTATACCTCTTGGGCAAACACAGGAGCACAAGAAAAAAAGGGAGTCCATTTGGTAGAGAAAGGGGGCTAAGAGGGGGAAAAGAAGGTGTGTGGGGGGGGTTCTCCTTCCTAAATCCTGAATTCTGGAGAGGGGAGAGAGCAGCGTGGTGATTAAATGAGGTCAAGGAGAACAGCTTCAAAGTAGGCACTGGGTGATAAGGAGGAGAAATGGTGTGAGTGAGAGGAGGAGGAGAAGGAGGAAGAGGTGGGGGTGTGCAGAGCGATAGAGGAAGGACGAGCCAGGCTGAGCACGAGCGTGGGAAAGAGGACAGGTGAGAGAGAGAGATGTGACTGGATGACGTAAGGTAGAGAGGAGCTGGCGGGGGAGAGAGGAAGATGAGGCGGTGAACACAATGAAGTTGGCAAGACGCAGCAGGAGGCATTCATCTGGCATACAAAGAAGGGGAGATGAGAGAGTGAACGAGTGAGCGAATGACTGCGTGACAAGGTGAGATAGAGCGGTTGAGCTGTGGCAAGAGATCGATCGGGCCGCACTGTTGCCAGAACAACTTTGTACTACAAATGATGTCCTCTGAAGTCCTAACCGCCGGCCCCGGCAGCGCTCCGCCATACAGAGCCCAGAGGAGCACCGCCACCGGCACCACAGACGAGTATATCAGCCAAGTTTCTAAATATAGCCCTCAGACAGCGCTATCGCTCACGACACGCTGGTTCCCACTGCAAGATGCTTTGGGGAAGTTATTCACTGGCAGGCGTTTCAGGAGAGGAAGACAGAGGGAGGACAGAGAGAAAGGGAGGCTGTGGGAGAGAGATTTAAACAGAATGAGGCAGAGGAGAGAGAAAGGGCATGACAGAAGACTGGAGAAGAGCGAATGTTGAGAGAAAGAGATAAAGAGAGGGGAAAAAAAGGAAAAGATGAGAATAAGAGGAAAGAATCGGCCAGAAAGACAGAGAGAAAGAGAGAGAGCCCTCTGCAGTCTGATGGAGAAAAGTCCCTGGTCTTACAGCAATGATGTAATCTTCTCCCTCCCTCTCACAACTGGTGTTGCCTGCCTCTGTTCATCACACACACACACACACACAGAGACTCTCACGCCTGCACACCACAATCTAATGTACAGCCATCAGAGGAGGCAGGAGAGCGAGGGAATGCAAAATGTCTGTTGCCTTGACTACTGCCAGTGGCCGGTCACCGGTCGACGAGGCTAAAATCTCAGAGCTCGTCCCGCCTCTGCCCGTCTGCTCCAAATAAGAGCCAGATGCTTCTGCAAAGTGAAAAATTTGCCAGGCGTCATCTTTCTAGAGCTCGGAGTGACTGATGGACTGAATGAGTGTTTTATGGGAGGAGAGAATAAGGAGGCGGCAACCCGTGATGAAGACAGAGGGAGGGAGGGATGGAGATGTGTTGGTGTGCATATGAATATATATACATAAATGAGTACAAATGAGAAATGAAGCGAGAGAGAGGGAGAGAAGGGAGAGGCAGTGGAGAGAGGGGGAGCAGGAGGGAGATGGAGTAAGTAAACATGCAAAACAAGTGTGTTTGTGAAAGCAAATGGGTGTTTTGGGGGTGGGGGGATTAGGTGTTTGGCTGAGAGGTGGGATAGTGTTAGCCTGGAGACTGGTGGAGTGTCCAAATCAATTCCACAGTGCAGAGGATGCACCATTTTCCAAAATAAGTTGGTTTCTGGACATGCAATGCGAAGCAGTGTCACATCTGAGACTCCTGTTACAGACTAGCTTCCGAGTTTGGATAAGCCTTTGGTTAGCACCGGGGTCCCTTCTCAACAAGGTGGAAGGATTAGTCATCTCACACATCATACTGTTGAGCTACTACTGTTAAAGCAGTTATAAAGACCAAAACCCCTTAAATGCAACAGTATGTCCTACTTTCTTCAACAGAAGCCTTTTGGTGTTGCAACAGAGTTATTATTGGAGCTGTGGAAGTTTGTTTTGAAGCCAACTATTTTGTCTGATGAAGTCCAGTAGCTGCACAAAATCATGCTAATGGGGCATTGGGAACAAATACACTGATATTGGTAATCAAGATAATCTTTTTGCTATGAAGGCTTTTTCAGGCAATCCACACAGAAAAAGCACTTCTAGAAACATTTTTGTCACTCACCAGATGCTTCCATTTTATGAAATGTATCAATCTGCACTGAGACCTCTCTCTCTACATACTCTGCCATGTTTCTTTCCTTTGAACCTCAAACATGATTAGACCATTGGATTAAGGCATATGCAGTAGTTGAGGTGGCCTTGGCTTTTAAGTGTGAACCTATACCCGTTTTGAAGCCTCAAGTTTGACATTACTATCACCATGTTGTTTTTTTGCAACCAGCAGCTGTGATGTACTGCGAGTTGAGCTACACTTGGTATCAACTTGTCTGTAGAAGGAAACAATGGCCTGGTCACACATCCTCATATTACAGACAGTAAACTAAAATATTACAGACAGTAAACTAAAATATGTTTGTATGTTAAAAGATTTTAGGCAAGAAATAGTCACTGCAGTAACACAATGTTGATTCATATCTGATCATCACTGCCTATTTTGACAGTTTGATCTGAGTT